TCTTTATTTTTTTTTAGTGATTTTTTCTCTTCTCCACATGAATCACTTAACATAATATTTTTCGAAATTCAAAAGATGTTCCGAATCCAGAGAGTTATGAAGTTACCATAAACAGAGAGATTCTTCAAAACCGTAAAATCAATCGAGTAGATGGAAGGAGACTTCAATCAAACGAAGAAGAAACCGAAATTGCAGCTTTTTAAACGGCGTTAGTTAACGTCGGCTTTGATCTAAGGAAGAAGCGTTAAAAACACACAGAGAAGGAGAGTCGAAAAGACAAACAGAAAGGGCTTCACCGTGAATATAGTAATTAAAGGGTATTTTGGGAAATTAATACGCCACTTTTTAAAAAAAATCTTTTCCTTTTTGAGCGGATAAAAAAGTTATACAGAGGAGCGGGTCGTTTGATTTGTCTTATTGTAGGCCCAATTTGCTTTACCTGTTTGGTAATCAAGCAATATAAACAATATTGTTTTTTTGCCTTTTTTAAATAAAAAAAATTGATAATTAATAGTGAAAAAAGCAATTAAAAAAATAGTGGACTAATAAATTTTAGTAGATTTTTATTGTTAATTGGTCATTAGAGTAATTGAAATTAGTTTTTTGATAAAAATTTCTTGGTGAAATAATATGATTTAATACTGTATCAATATATGTAAGATTGAAAAAAAATGAGACGATGCAAACTAATAAAATTGTGTACTCCCTCCGTATCATAATAGATTTTTTTTTTCAAATTAGATGATGCTTTCAATTTTCAATGTAAAATTAATTGTGTTTTGTTGCTTTTGACTGTTTAAATTATGCATATTATTTTTTTTACTGATTGAATGGTATTGGAATTGATGATTTTATATTGAAAAATAATATGATATAGAGAGAATACTATTTAGTTAAATAATAATAAATAGATAACCAAATTAATTATTATTCCAAATATTATAAAATTTATGAGAATACAATGGATGTTTATGGCAACAAATATGGAGAACTTGACTATTAATCTACTTTTTAGTTAATTTTTGTGAACATGCATATAATCAAACGTTACTTGTAAGACCAAATTATATTTTATTCATAGAAATGCTTCGTTTCTTAATGAGAACGCATTTTTTGACATTTGCGTCTCTTTTTCTTCGAGATGTTTCAATATGGAGCACGAAGAAAGAATGAAAAGTTTTTTCATTTTACGTTGAAGATTTAATGTACAACGAGAGTTTCATACACAACAACTTTTAACTTTTTTTTTTTTTTGCTATGTTTAGGTTATACAAATAGTTTAACCTAGGCTAAAGCAACCAAGGCAAAAAAAAATAAAACTTGGTTACAATAATTTGGGTGAGATCTGAGTGAAGATAAGTTGATGTTATCTAATCCATAGAGACATTAGATTTCTCCAGT